CATTTATATAATGATATTTATATGCCATATATATTGAATACATAAATATTATTGACAGTATCAACTAGTATCATTTAAAGAAAATAACTATTGTGAGGTAACTTCTTTAGGACATCACGTTGTAGTTGGCAGTGACAAAGAACCCCCGAATAGTGGCCTAAAAAATGTCAATCACTTCCAGCAATTCCATTTCCGTTTTTCATTCAGCTGGCCAGAGAATCACACATGTTCCTCTTTATATAAATTCTACCCCTGCCTTCAACTTCATCAGCTTTTGCCTCGTTTTTTCAATTATTTTAAGGGTGCGGGAGGGGCTTGTTGGTCGGTTGGTTGGTAACAACAAACAGATTTCAATTTGATTGATAAATACGGCAGAGCGTGTAAATGATGTTGCAATCGAAGAAAAGGACACCAAAAATTACAACCCAACAGAATCATCATCATGTGGGTGGAGATGGGTTTTCTGGTAGGGATTTTTGGATGGGGAATCTACCATCTGATACGCTTGACGTTCCATCTTTTATTCTCCACACACACAAGCCCACCAACACAAGACCCACACAATCACAATAAGTGGCTGTTACATTTCACACCAAAACATTGATGAAGCGACCAAAAAGCAGATGAAAAAATGGAGGGGAAACGGAAGTAAGGCGCAAGAAGAAACAAGCCGCAGAATGGACAAGCCGAACAAAATAGCTATGTTTTGTAAAACCCACCAAAAAATATAAAAAACTATCTCAGCTGCTGTTAAAACAAGACTGGCTTGGAACACTGATGTTTAAAATATACTTTAAGTTTATTTAATCTCGAGTGGTTTGAAACTACCTTAAAATGCTCCTTAAATTGTGCTTTTAAGCAACGGTCCTTACTAGTAAACTTTTCAAACCTTTACGTTATACGAAATTATTTTTTTTACCTTTTTTTATATGTTTTTATATGTTTTCTTCCTTACTTCCTTAAAGTTTGCAATGATATACAGATTGCAAAGATTACTTATTGAATTCTAATCTGATGCTCTATAGCATCACTAGATTTCTTAGCTATAATACCCGTCGAAAGGGTATTAAAACCACTGGGAAGAAATAAAGGAAAAATCACAGAATTTTCACAAAGATGTTTATCATTTTCACTCCGAAAGTTTTTCCGGCGGGGGTAAAAAGGCGAGACGTTGTCGGTGATGGACAAAATATTTTCTGCATACAGATTTGGCCAGTAGATAAAATGGTAGAAGGAAAAAAGCATTAAAAACGAAAAAAATCGAAATAAGCAACTGGCGATGCGGGAAACGTTAGCCAAACGAGGGAAAGTCCCGAAGAGAAAGGAGGGAAGTCGTGGTGGCTTGGGGAATAATGGCAAAAGGCACCCAAAGGACATAATCGGCCATTGGGCCAAAAACTGTGCGGACGTTGTAAACTGGCAAAGAAGGAAGTCGGCAAGGAAACCCATGTATTGGGAATAGGAGAAAGACCAAGAATGGGGAATCGGAAATAACGGCAAACAGCAGAAGTGGCAGTTAAAATTGTGCTGGGAATAAATCTATCATCTAATGCAATATTACATCGTAATGCCATTCAGCAGGAACCAATCCTGTGGGAGTCCACCCACCAAAACTCAGCTGTGGCTCACTGTTTTTCAGTTAAATGAAGTCGATTATTCGGGCGCCTCTGGGCTAGCTGGTAATATGATTGAACAAATGATGAATGCCAGACAATATATAGTGCTATGAGAGTTGAAATGGGGTGAGGTTATTTTCGTAGAAAATCAGAAATAAAAGGATAAAAACAGCAAAAAACATAGTAAAAACTCGAGAGGAGGCTACAGTCGAATGTTCGACTATCAGATACCCACTTAACTTAGCTAACCAATTTCAAAATAAATATACATGCATATATATGCTTAGTAAGCATTGCTTGCATTTTTATCTACAATATTACATTTCTACATTTTACCCTATTACCTACAGGCTGTGTATACTTATTACCTCCTATTTCAACATTTTTCGGTGTTCCGGTTGATATTGACAGGCGGAATAAAATAAATTTTATTCTTTAAAAATTTGATTTTGGGCGGTTTCTAGTGGCCAGAATAAAATAAAATATCTTTCAAATGTTAACCTTTGAAAATGTGGCCGCCACAGTTTTGAGTTTGGGTTTGGTGTGAGTACATTTTTTTTTAGGAAAATTGTAAGGTTTTTTATTCTAGCACCAGAACTGTAGGAGCCACAGTTTTGTGCGGCTTGTGGGCGTTAGAGTGGGCGTGGTACATTCGCAAAATAAACTTGCGCTGGGAAATCTAAATCTGAAACCGTAACTCTCTAGTTTCCATGTTTTTCAAGATCACACCTTTTAGACGAACAGACTGGCACGGTAAATAAGTAAACACGTATATCAGGACTTCGTTGAAAAAAGAATTTTTATACCCGTAAAAGGGTATACTAGATTCGTCGGAAAGTATGTAACAGGCAGAAGGAAGCGTTTCCGACCCCATAAAGTATATATATTCTTGATCAGGATCACTAGCCGAGTCGATCTAGCCATGTCCGTCTGTCGGTCTTTCTGTCCGTATGAACGCTGAGATCTCGGAAACTATACAAGTTACAATACTGGGAATAGGCATGCAGATTCCTGAGATTCCTGCGCAGCGCAAGTTTGTTTCAGCAGAGTGCCACGCCCACTCTAACGCCCACAAACCGCCTAAACCTGAGGCGCCCACAATTTTCATGCTAGATAAAAAATTTTAACTGAAATGTATTGGTCTCGTCAATACCTATTGATTGATTCAAAATTTGCTACGCCCACTCTAACGCCCATAATTAGTTTTAATTGGAATTTTTTGAAATTTGCAAAAAACGCCAAATTTCAAAAAGGTCTTTTGTATAAAAATATATATTTCCAGCTGTTGTAATCAGATAGACTTAATATTTAATGTATTTAATTCGCTGAAACCTTTTCTGTTAAAATACACTTTTTTGAAGACACTTGTTTTTTAATTTCTTTAAAATCAGAAAGAAATTTAATTTTAAAAAAATGTATTGGTAGCCCCCACAAAAAAAAACAAGGAAGAACGCTATAGTCGAATGCCTTGACTATCAGATACGCGTTAATCAGCGACAGAGACCAAAGGGAGATGGAGATATGGAATCAGCAAAGCGAGGTGGCAGTGCGCCACCTACCCGCGATCTCAATATATGGTTATATGGGCGACAGATAGATTTCAGCCTTATGGGTGGGTGGGCGTGTAACACTTTGTTTTCGGTCAATCGATATGTTTTGATGAGACAAATGCATTTCAGTTAACATTTTTTTAGCATGAAAACTGTGGGCGCCACCGTTTTGAGCGGTTCGTGGGCCCTAAAGTGGGCGTGGCAAACTTTTTTTGGCTCAATCGATAGGTATTGACGAGACTAGTAAGTTTCAGTTAAAATTTGTTTTCTAGCATGAAAATTGTAGGCGCCACAGCCTTGGGTAGTTTGTGGGCGTTGGAGTGGGCGTGTCAAATTCGCGTAACAAACTTGCGCTGCGTACAAGGCTACGGAATCTAAATCTGAAATCCCAATTCTCTTTGTACCCTTGCAGAGGGTATATTGATTTCAGTCAGAAGTTTGCAACGCAGTGAAGGAGACGTTTTCGACCCCATAAAGTATATATATTCTCGATCAGCATGACTAGACGAGTCAATCTAGCCATGTCCGCCTGTCCGTCTGTCCGTCCGTTTCTACGCAAACTAGTCTCTTAGTTTTAAAGCTATCGGGCTGAAACTTTCCCAAAAGTCTTATTTCTTTTGCAGGTCGGAACCAGCCGGATCGGACAACTATATCTTATATCCCCGGAAAAATAAATTTAATAAAAATATATCTTTGGTGTTTTTTAACATATAACCTCCTAAGCTTGGAAATGACATTTTTTAATTAGTTTTGAATTTTGATTTAAATTTTATCAAAATCGGACGACTATATCATATAGCTGCCATAGGAACGATCGAAAAATTGGTGGGAAAATAATATGAAACAAATTATAGCTTCGGTGTTTTTGACATATTAGGGTATACAAACTTCGGCTTGCCGAAGTTAACTTCCTTTCTTGTTTCTGACAGTTTTTGAGATATCAGCGTTCATACTTACGATTTTTTGAAGCTTGTGGGGGGCTTGTGGACTTTAAAGTGGGTGTGACAAACTTTTTTTTGGGTCAATCGATTGATGGGACCAATACATTTCAGTTAATATTTGTATACTAGCATTAAAACTGTAGGAGCCACAGTTTTGGACGGTTTGTGGGCGTTACAGTGGTCGTGGCACTCTGCCGAAACAAACTGACGCAGGAAGCCCTCGAATCTGCATGCTAAGTCCCAACATTCTAGCGCGTATAGTTTCCGAGATCTCCGCGTTCGTACGGACAGACGGACGGACGGACAGACGGGCATGGCTAGATCGACTTGTCTAGTAGTCCTGATTAAGAATATATATACTTTATGGGAAACGCTTTCTCCTACCTGTTACATACATACTTTCCGAAGAATTTACTTTACGTGAGTAGTCTCACGAACAAGTTACTCCAACTCTTGATAATATTATTGTAAATTCATTGTCGGCACGTTAAGAGAAATCGACTAAACTTTTTGACGAGACGAGACACTCCCCTATATTTATTTTTAATTTTGTTACGTAAGTCGCAGGTATCTGATGCCCGAGGCTCTCAACTATAACGTTCTCTCGCGTTTTTGTTTACATTCCTTTTTATTCGGGGGACTATTATTTTTTTGGATTTTAGAATTTTAAATATGGTTATAACAAATCGGACTACTACGTCGTATGAAATATATAAGGGCTATACGGTTTTTGTGATATGTGTGATTTAAATTGCATGATATGGTTTCATCTGCGTGCGGACATAGTTCGTTTCAAGTCTAAGCAATTTTATTTATATGGATGGTGTTTTTTCTAGATCTTAATTTAGAAATTAAGAAACGCTAATACATAGAAAAAATGCAAGGAACGAAACTATGTGAAATTTCGGTGAACTTCATTAATTAATCGAAGGATTTCCGATTGGTTGCACTGGACTTGGGCAAATCGTACGGATGTCTCATTTTGGTAGTTAAAGCTAGCCAGGTGCCCTCGAAATGCACTTCATGCGCGACCAGTCTTGACCCGCTGGACTCTTCCGCTTTTTCTGCTGTCTGTCTCTTTTCCCACAGCGTGGTTTTTCGGCACGTTCCACGTTCCTCTCCTTTCCACTCGTTTCCGGAGTGCGCGAAATGCGCAATGGCATTCGTTTCGCGCTTCATTCACTATTCCCCGTTTCCCGACCTACGTTCCTTTCCCATAAATTATTCCAACGCTCCAAATTAAGCGAACGTCATCGCCTTTTGATGGGCTCCTCGTTTTTTTGTACCATGTACTCATGAATTCTAAGGGTATATGGATTTCGGGCGAAATATGTAGAGCATCAGATCCAATTTAAGGCTTGATGAGATCATAAAATCAACAGTTTGAGTAGGCTGTATCAAAACGTATTCTTAGGTGTGATAATTATCTAGATAAAACGGAGAACAGAACCGAACTTGAAACAAGGATTTTAATTTGTTAGAATATCTCGGTCTATTTAGGATAGTTTTTTCTACTTTTGGAATATCTTCATCTGAAGAATTTAAATAATATGCGAGGGCCCACGAATCATTCTTAAATGATTATTCTTAAAAAAAACGTACACTAAAATCAGGCTATTAATATTCGTTTTGTAGTTTACCCAAAAATGTTTTTTAAATTCTTTAATTTCGCCGTCAGAGTGCGAGGGAGACAGATGCTCCGATTCGAAACTATTTTGACATTAAGATGGTAATTTTTAAAGAAAGAAAGTCTACACAAATGTGGGTATCAGAAAATGTTTAGCAAAATATTAAAGTCATGTTATGTTTTCGATACTGCACATGAATCCCACCTAGCGGTGATAAGATGCTCATAACTTTTTGATAAATCGGCCGGTTCGAACCATTTTTGAAATATAACTAGATGTATTTTGATAAACAAAACAAAATCCCAATTACATTTTAAGAGTTAGAGTGAGCGTTGTACATTTGAATGACAAACTTGCTCCGAGTCAGAAGCTAAGGAATCTTCATGAAAAGTCTCAACATTCTAGCTCTCATAATTTCCAAGATCACAGCGTTCACAAAGACAGGCTAACAGACGAACAAAAGTAAATGGCTAGATCAACTGGGCTAGTGATCATGATCAAGGATATACCTCCTACTACTTTGAACGAATACAACGTAACCTTTTAACGGTAACGCTGTATGAACGCTGAGATCTCGCAATACCCATCTGTCAATCGCACTACTATTTGAAAAGTTACGAGAAACCAAGTAACAAAGGCCTTGCGCGGTCAGTTAAACCACTACCCACCACTATTTAGTGCTCGCGTCCTTAGTATGTGTCCCACCAATAGAATTTTTTTTAAATTGGTCAACAAAGTCACGGGTATCTGATAGTCGAGGCACTTGACTATAGCTTTCCTTCTTGATTTTCCTCATTTTCTGTGTGTGTTTTCCCGACCCCTGGAAATTCAACAATTTGATTTTTCAACCACTTCGGCCCACCGTGTTGTCCACTGATTTTACATGCTGTGAATAAATAATGAATGACCATGATGTGGTAAATTGAATATGGCGTGAAATTAGCTTAAGTAAATGGAATTAAGTGGATTTTACAGCCGCCTGAGTGTCGCACCCCGCCATCCAGAAAACAAAAAGCGAAATGCACAGGAAAAAAGAAATCTGTTGAATAGACAGTAGAGACAGTGATTTAGTGGCCTATAAACGCCAACTTCCCTGACCTAAAACCCCAACGAAATTTAAAAAGGGAAACCTCCGATGGAAGTCGTAAAGGTTTTCGGCATGAGTATATCGTGTCAGTTGTCGTGTCATGTCAGGACCTCCTGAAACATTTTATGGCCGCTCCGGAAGCAAGCAAAGGGGATATCTTAAAATCCGCTCAGGCAAATCGCATCGTATTAACCTTCAACGTTTTCATTTTGAACATTTTCAGTGACAGGAATTCAATTCTCACCCCAGGAACACGAACTCCCCGCGCCACTTGATCCCCATTTGATTTGTCAAATGCCCCAGACATCAGAGACGTTGATATGCCAGCACAAAAAAGCACACACAAGTTAAAGTGAAGCAAAAAAGGGTTCCCACAACGGCCTCACGAGCAATGACACTTGTAGCAGACGAATGGGATCCTTGTATTCTGAAAGGAACTCTAGATACTCTGACCGTCGCAAATTCTCCTTTGAATGTGCGAACCCAAAGCTATTTTAATTATTGATCATTTTCTGGAATAAAATTGCATAATCGAATTTGCCATAATTTGCCTTAGAATCTTCATTTTTGTTCGATGAAATGTATATTTTTAATCAATTGGATCTGATTAATAAAATGTATCATATATGATGTCCAAACTCATACTTTTTCCCGCAGAACTCGAATTTTTTCGTTAAGGCTTTGTCACAAAGATAAAAGGCAAACTGGTTTGGTTGCCATACAAAGCAATCGGTCGTGCAAAATTTTCTTTTGCATTTTAATAATTCAGTAGTGCATTAAATTAATAAAGCATACTTTTTATTATACAATACCACTCTAAACCTTTTTTTAGAGTTTTTAGGACATTCCCCTTTCGCTGTAGCTTAAAATCGGAAACCTTACTTTAAGACCATCAAGTCAGATGATTCGAATGGGTGGAAAGAAGGATGCAAAGGACTTTGGGGATGCGGTGTCTGGATTCCAACCATCTACGGATCCTCTTCGCCTGCGATTCCGGCGGAGCTAAAATGACATTCACTGACACTGAGCACTCGTCGCCTGGGAGTCTTGCAATAAAAATAAAACGTTTCTCAAATAAGCGCTCGGGGAGTTTGCCACGGGAGCTGTCTTTTCCCTGCCAAAACAGCTCGCATATCCTTTCAGCCAACTACACCTGCATACATACATATGAATGTATATATATACGGAGAAAAGAGTATCAATAGTATCTGCTTCAAATTATAAACAAGATTGTATTTGACTTTTGTTATAAAGCTTTGATTCCCTTTCCGATTTTTCGAATTAAAATGTGACTAAAATAAGGAGATTTTATAAAATATAAATAATCTTAACGACTTTAGTGAAATATCTTGAAAACATAAAATGTGTACATAGTCGAAGTTTATATACCCTTGCAGATCGTTGCTATGGCGACTACACATTAAGGTCGTCCGATTTTAATAAAATAAGCAAGGAGAGGAATGATATAGACAATATGAATGTCTTTTGTTCTTTATTTTCCTTTTTGTAACAATCATAGTGATTTTTTTTTTTTTTTTGTAGATTTCCTTAATTTTATTTTTTGTTTTTTTATTATAATATTCACAGTTCTTGATATACTTAATAAAATTAATTTCGTGTCGGCAAAGAAGCAGTTCTTAACAGAATTTGCTCTGCAATCTTGGTCAGTAATTAGCCGGGTTAAAAGTTCGTCTTCTCAAACTTGCACCACCGCTTAACCAAACACTCCATGTGTGAAAACGGGCTGAAAAAGAGGGATTTTTTGGGGAAGGGGAATGGTCCGGATAAAATGCTAATTATAAAAACAATTTTCAGCTGATGGCGGGTTGCAGGATTTGGACGGTCTCGTTGCTATGCATGCGCTTTTCGCTTTTAACAAGTTTCTTTAGCTAATTTGTCAAACACTTTGCATAATTTGGGCTCCGAGCCTCGATGCCCGCCCTGTGCCACACTCTTTGGACAGGATAACGATGTGGCGTAAGGAGCCTGACAGCCCGAGATCCTGTGAGCTTTCCCCAGACAGCAGCGTCTTGTGTTTGTTAATTAATAATTTCCACAGCGCAATTTGCAGCTTGCTGCAACCCATGTCGGACACCTTTTCTTCAACAATTTCCATGTCCAAACAAATTTAATATTATAGCTTGTAAGTCACGTAAGCAGAATAAAAATGCTTAACAGTTAAACACCATGTTTTTAATTTAGTCTTGGAGATTTCGCTTTTGCTCGATTAAGACAGAGTTCAAACACGATACACATGAGATTCAACACTTAATAACACTCACAGCTTTCCTCAATTACAAATAGACATATGGTACTATTAGGCTAAGTGGTTCCTATGCAAGAAAAGGGTTTTAGTCATATAAATGTTAATATATTTCAAATTTTAATTTCACTTATAGAAGTAAAATGGCGGAGATAGAGCTACAAGGTGTGTTTCAAAAGTTCCCGAACATTTGGACCAAGGCATTTTTTGGTGGTGCCACATTTTTGAGAGAACCAGTGTTGGAAACGTGCATCTGTCATTGACATTACCTCCAATTTTCATTGGAATTGGAGTTATAGCGTCCAATGGGACAGAATGTTTGTGTCATCTGAACAAAAATGAGTTTTGATAATGTTAGTTAAAGAAAATTCGAGCTTCATAAACATAAGTTATTTAAGCTTAACTGTAATCACAGCATTATATTAGTTTATAATATTATCGAAAACAACCAGTTGAATGCTAAACGAATCGGTTTAGTTTAATTTATGAATTTTTTTTGTTACTATTATTTATTATGCTCGTGCTTATTCAATAAACTTTATTATAATTTATTTTTGGGTTTCATCTCGATATGTCACTTTCTTAAAAACAAATTAAAGGAAATTCCTTAAACGAAATAATGTATCAGTTTTATTAAGCAATTATCTAGAACAGTTCACCCAGTCAACTCAACTCCAAGTTATTCTTTAACCTACATTTTTCACCATGACCTCAAATCAAATAAAATATTTTTCCGGCTCCCCCCACAAAAATACGCCTCAAGTATGCAAAGAAAAGTGGTGGTAAAAAGAAAAGCCCCTTTACGTGTTAATGTGTGCAATGCGAGAACGTTTTCCGCTCATAAATTAGCGAGCGCGTGAACATTTATTTTGTTATTAAATTTAACAAGTGCCCCCACTTTCAACCCCCCTCGCACACACAGTCTGTTATTAATTTGCAGTTGCCTTGTTGCCATCTTGGCTCAAAAGTTTTTGTCTTAAATTGTTCCCGCTCGTTTCGTTACATTTTGCACTCGAATACAAAGTTGCCACCCTGCGACCTTCCACCACCCACCAACCACCACTCACCACCCACCGAGTTGCGCCCCCCGACACGCACTGCCCCCGGAAGGGGTAATTGCCACTGTGTGTGTGCGTATGGGTGGGGGGGAAGTAAGGTAGTCCCTTTGGCGTTATTAAGCAATTTACAAGATACTTAAACAAGAATTATGTGCAACATTTTCCAACAAAATGATTCGAGGAGCTGAATTTTAAAATAAACAAAACTGACTTCTGACAAGCCCCCTTTCTTCTCGTTTTTCGTATGTGTTTGTCTGGTAAGGTGAGGGGAAAATTAAAAATAAATGCCTGTGCTTTTCACTCTTCCTTGAAGTGAGCTGTTTTAAAATCACTTAATTAGTTTCGCATACTCTTGGAGCTTCAACGAAAAGTTTCAAAATACCTAAAGCGCCTTAGCTTAAAGCTAATTTAATAAGCACACAAATTTTTTATGTTATGTTATGTTATGATAATAAACCACGTTTCTATATATTTTAAGACTAAACTGTAAATCAATTTACACAATCAGGCGTGCTCCGGTTTTCACTTTCACATTTTTACACTACACCCAGAAAACAACGAACGAAAAAAATCAAGAACATTTTTCATGAAATGCAAACAACCCGTTCTCCATTTTTAGTTCTCACATTTCAAACGTTTGTTCACGAAAATCGAACGGTGTTGGTAACAATTTCTACCGACGAACAACTTGGTTCCAAATTGCGAAAAATGTTCTCAGATATCGAACGCCGTTCATGAAAAAGCTGCGATAGACGCGTTAAAGTCTATCGAAATCGATAAATTATCAACATCGTTCATAAAAACATGTATGTAGGTCGTGTCCAGATTTTCCGCACTCGAA